GTATCGCCGGACAAATCGCCGTTCTATAGAACTTACCTTTTAGCTTTTGTGACACCCTCTTATCACAGAGAACGCCCGAAACTTGACGCCATTTCAACTAACCGGCTGCAATAAAAAAAATCAAGTAGTTGAATAATATATTAAATTATAAATAATTGACTATTCCATTTATGTCAATTTTACTATTGACCGTAAGTTATGAATAATAACTTATTTGATTTTAAAATTTGGAACCCAAATTTAAACTAACAATAAATTCCCTTATATATTTCACACACACAAAAATAAAAACTAGTCTTGATGTAAGAACCGTGAGAATCGAATTTGATGTTATTTTTTCTGTTACATGGTTTTATCATTTTCACAAATGATAATATAAATTGTATTGCTATTTTTAATAAAATACATCATGGTTTAAAATAGCACTAAAACACAATCAATCATATATATATATATATATATATATATATATATATATATTATTTCGCAATTTTCTAGATTTGTTTTTGGTTGCTTTATATTTCAAATTTATCAACTAATTTTTGAGAACTAAATTATAAATTTTAAATTCATTAATTAATATTTGTTCAAAGATTTTTCTGATTTTCAAGAGGAATACATACTAATTTGTCTAATTATCATCAAAATATCTTATGTCAATTTATTATGAAAATATGCTAAAATTTGAAAATCATATGACCTTGACTTTATAACAAATTAACCTAAAATTCGACTTTATCATCCATACCAAATAAAATTCGTATCACTTATTTTGTTTTCAAAACTTCTAGATAAACTTCTAGCCATACTATATACAATTCATATAATTTAAATTTGAACATTTCACACAAAAATAAAATCACCTACTTTATACCATAATTTAAGTAAATTTATTAATAACAACACATTTCCAACCAAAAATACAAATGGTCATCACATACCTTAAATAAAATCAGCCACTTTATACCGAAATTGGATTTATTAATTTTGTCAACTTTAAATTGATTAATTAATTTCTAGAGGTCAGGTTTTTTGAAAATTTTCAAAAAGATTACCAAGTTTAGTAATTATAAATTTTTTAGGCGGCATTTTAGTTTATATTTCAAACAAATACAATCCTTTTTGTATAGATATGTAGATGAGTATTAAATATTTCGAGTAATTTTTTTTTCCAGAAATTAGTAATTTGTAGACATAATCAACTAACTTTATAACTTCCTTCACATATTTATCTCGATGTCCTATATTATTTTTCCTTAATTTTAAATAGTATTTGCATAAAAGTATTCTTCTTAACAAAAACTAAAAACTTACCGGCTGTGCATAGCACAACCGGCCTATATAAGTAAGAGTCAAGAGTTAATACCCTCTCTAAAATATAGAATGAAATTCATCAAATTGAGCAAATGATCATCAATTAAAAAAGGATAAAAAAAAATAAGCAATGCTACATGTACAATTATGTATAATTATAATTGACTGACATTAGTCGACAACATTAGTTAAGTGTGTGAGTGAGATTTCTGCGGGATGCTCCGGCAGACAAGATGTGAGCGGAAAAAATTTGAACCCACATAGAACTGTTAAAACACAACTTTAAGTTTTCAAAATCAAAGATAATTGATCAAACATTATTTATCCGATGACCAATTTGTCGTAACACCAGTCAAGCTTATTAGTTTCAAAACTATTTGTTTTGACTGTGTAATTAGTTTGACCACAATGGGCCACCAATTATCTCAATTTCCAGCATATATGGGCTCTCGACCTATTTTATAATGGATGTTTTTTTTGAGATATCTGCCCGATTGTGTTAATATTTTATAATAACATGTCATCATCGAGAAATAATGACTTACAAAAATTTCTTCTTAAAGCCGATATATTAAGATGTGCCACCAAAAAAAAATTCAGCTTTTTTTAGTGGCGAGTTCCACGCCTGCAGATATTGTCTAAAAAATATTTTCCCAAGGCAGATCAACTTTTTCCAATTCAAATGGGTATGCTCGTTTTTTGTGAAAAATTCTGTATCCATTCACACGTATGCTAAACAACATTGAACTTTTGTACATTTTTGAGATCTGCTGTATATAACGGTCTAATAGTAGTGGTATGAGTTTTAAAAGTACTAGTACGTAACCCGTGCGATGCACGGACTATATTCATTTTAAGAAATATAGTGTAGTACCGGTGCGCAGTACGGTAGGGTTATTTCCTCAAACCTTTTTTTCTAAACTTTATTTAATATTTTTGTTTATAAATTAGTAATTTGATTGTAATAGAAAAAAAAGAGAGAGAAATACAAAGTAAAAAAAAAAACATATATTATTAAACACTTCTCTATACACAACGGTATTGGTTTGATTTGCTTTCAAACCTTGTTCTCCACAAATTAAAATTTTAAGACCCTTTCTATTAGTAACACGGGAGACAACGACATATAACTGGTCATGACTAAAAACTGGTTTCTTCAATTCAAAATTAACATTATTATAAGTCTTGAAAATTTTTTTCGACCAAATAAATATAATTAAGCATTTTATATAAGTATTTTCATTATGTGATACCCGAGCTCTATGGAACTTAGTGTAACTTAAAAGGGAGTTAGAAGCCTCTTGGAGTGCCATGTGGCAGGCCTCAACTCCTTCCCCTTGGTGAAGGCGTATTTTATTTTGAGGCGAAATATGTGTTTATTAGGAAAGTGGATAGAGACAATATTTGATCCCTTTTTGTTAGTTTATTACTCTAAATGTCATCTCTAGGTGATTTTATTTACTAAATTTTATTATACATAAAATATGTATTATATAATAAAATTTAAGCAAAATTATAAATTCAAAATTTTAACTTATTTAACAAAATAAATACATTTATTACTGTATGTTTGTCAAAATAATAAATAGAAATAAAAAATAATTTGAAAGAAAATAATAAAACTTGATAAAAAGTTGAATTCAGTGATCAATTCAGTACGATACTAACACAATATTATTTACATTATCATGCGAAAATTTAACGTAAATTAAAGCTTATTTATCGCACAAGTTCGAAATGAGTTACATCGTAGAGTAGATTTGATCTTAGACTATGTATTTTTATTTTTTGTTTGATGATTATGCCAAATTTTAGAGTGTGATTAGATACAAAAATTTTCACAAAAAACGAGCATACCGTTTGAATTGAAAAAAGTTGATCTGTCTTGGCAAATATTTTAAACTATATATGCCAAGCGTGGGGTCCACCATTAAAAAAAACTGAAAAAAAAAAATTGGTAGTAGATCTTAACGTATCAAGTTCAAGAGGAAATTGTTGTAAGTCATTGTTTCTCAATGATGACATGTTATCATAAAATTGTAACACAATTGGGCAAATATCTCATAAAAAAATTATCCATTACAAAATAGATCGGAAGCCCATATATGCTGAAAATTGAGATAACTGGCAGCCCCTCAAACTAATTTATGTATTTTATCAATGTTTTTAGGTGCGTTTGTGACCATAAGTTATTTTTCATAGTATTTTTTATGCAAATTTGGATCGGTTAATTTAAAATTTGGGAGAATCAACTTCAAACATAAATATTTTAATATTATGGGCCGGTTGTGCGAAAAATTCTTAGTATTTTAGATACTTGTATGTTAGACGTCTATACTATTTTGGATACTTTTTGGACAAATTTTTTAATCAATGATCTCTATTTATATATATAATTTTTTAATTAATGATCTCTATCTATATATACATGTTAAATTTAAGTGTTGTCAAACAAGAATATACGTAATATTATTAGATACTTATATCTAGACATATATACAATTTTTTAATCAATGATCTCTATCTATATATACATGTTAAATTTAAGTGTTGTCAAACAAAAATATACGTAATATTATTAGATACTTATATCTAGACGTATATAAACAGTGGAGAGGTATATAATATTTTAGATTAGACGTCTATAATCTTTTAGATACTTTTGAACCAAATAGTTTGGACAAATTTTTTAATCAATGATCTCTATCTATATATATAATTTTTTAATCAATGATCTCTATCTATATATACATGATAAATTTAAGTGTTGTCAAACATGTTTTTCTTATCAAATAGTTTAGAAAAAATTTAGGTGCCTTCACATCTTTAAAAAATAATATAGAGTAGTTTAGAATTTTTAGATATTATATAATATTTCAAGTGTTTTAATTTTTAAACATATATGTTTTATGTTCTTTATTTTTCAAAAACAATATAGAAGTTTTAGATACTTTTACATATTATAAATATTTTCGTTTTATGTTCTTTATTTTTCAAAATTAATATAGCGTATTTTAGAGACTTTTACATATTATATAATATTTTAGGTGCTTTAATATTTTGAACATACATGTTGTTATATTCTCTTATACAGAATATTTTTATATTGTTTACATGGTAACACCCCATCTTAATTTATTATTATTTACGCATATTATTTCACATGTTAACACCACATCTTTTATTTATAATTATAATTTAATATTATTTACAGAATACATCTTTAATTTATTATTATTTTCTCATATTATTTTACATGTTAACACCACATCTTTAATTTATAATTATAATTTAATATTATTTACCGAATTGCACGGGCGGGCTATAATAGTATAGTCTATAAAAAATAACCAAAAAATATAAAATTTTACCTTTCCAATGAAAAACCATCCAGATGCAACTAAAAGGTAAAACTAGCTAGGGGGTGCTCCTAAATTCTAAAAGGTAAATAATTAAAGGTAAACAATTAAATAATTCTCTATTCATACCCTTAGAATATTTGTGTAATAAGTTTGATGAAAAGAATAAGCAGATTATTCATTTATAAATCGATATATGTACAAAATACATAACAGTCGGAACTTCGAAGGTGGTAAAAAACAAGAGTAGCTCCGGAACTATGAATGAAAAGATTGAAAGCTCGTAAACAAAATTAAGGAACTATACAAGGCACTGAAGAGCCAATTTCATGAATTCGAAGTCCGATTCATAGTAAGAGTGAGCCCTGCTGCAGCTGTCTTTAACTCGCTCTCACAGATGTTCTGTGTTGCTTTTGTTTCTTTTTTTGATGATTCTGAAGACATTCCAACAATGAAATTCGCCCTGGCAAAATTAAAGACATAGATTTATTATTGTTTTTTATACTCAAAAAATAATGTCAGAATAATATAACTGCAGCTAATAACAAGTAGTGTGATCTTTATGAGGAGAAATTAAAGAAAACTACTTCAAAAAATGGAAAAAAAATTGTTCATTAAGATAATTGAATAAAATGGACAAGAAAATCAACTAGAAAAACTACTTGGATCCTTATTAAAATGATCAACATTAATTAATAATAACAAACTACAAGGTACTGAACAAACAAAAGAATTATGCTTATAATGTGAGCTAAAGGTTGTACAGATATAGGCCATCATTATTGGTATTTTTAGGAATCTAGAAAATATTCCTTCTCTTTGACTTCCTAGATATGAAGAGTAAAAAAATGATTCGGATTCACTTATTAAAATAAATAAGAAATTTAGCCCAAAAATGAAATCATATATACCTTGATTCGAATTGGTAACAATCTCGATCAACCATTCCTTCAAAATCTGGATAATAAACAATATTTTTCTGATCTTGTTGGATCCCAAAAGCATCATACATTTGTGCTTGGATCGCCTGAACTGTGCTCGTACCATATATTTCATCAGGAACCAACCCGCCACTAGGGCCAATTTCGTAATTCTCCATCGGTTGAATTTCCGAAGGTCCACAATCAAAACTCATTAACTGATAGCTACTATTACTACTCAATTGTTCCTTACAATCGGCTATCTTGGAATTCAGATGATGTAGCTCTTCAAGTGCGCACTGTATTTGAAAACGTAGTTGAGATAATATGACGCAACAACCCTGCACAGGAAAATTGTGCCGCATCTCGGCCTCAAAAATTATGGATTTCATGGCATCGTCCTTGTGTATTGGATTATCGAGACTCTCCAGAATTTTGGTTACGTTAGATACTCCGAACAAACGATGAACATTCTGGAACATTTTCGGCTGATTGGCCGGGAAATAAGGGGCCAAAGGACAATTGAGACTGCATCTTCTTCTTTGGTACTTGCAAACGGCGCACGCTGGAGTTGACCCGCCCTTAACAGTCATGCTTTAATTACTTTGTTTTATATGCATGAATTAATATTGAAATTACATGAATATGAATGTGGGTTTTAATTTATTTGATGAGTTTAAATATGTTTATGAGTTTTGGATAAAGAGATAATGAACATGATTAATTTGGAATAAGGTAATTACAGAGAGAAAAAGTTTGTTGTGGGTTTGTTAGGATTATTGAGCAGACCAAGTAAAAGAATTTTAGTCCCCAATGTGTAGGGGAGTTTGTTTACTTTGATTTTAAAAGATTAAAAGAGAGCTGCACGTTGACCACGTCTCACTCAATTGCAATCTCTTCTCAAGATAAGTTGACTTTCATAGTCAACGAGGAAATAGGTCAAAAGCGGAAACTTCAATTAACGATTTTATAGACTTTTTTATGTGCACGTACAAGATACGAAAGCATAACATATATTCATCAATATCGTATCGCTCAAAAGTCAAAACAGGAATACAAATTGGAAGCTTCAGGCGGATGTTATTTATCGTAAAATATTTATAATTTTTTTTATCAAATCTATATATATAGAATAAAAAAATGATTAATCTATTCTTAATTTGGTGTCGTTTACTTTGCAGGATGGGATAAGACAAATTAATCAAGCCCATTTGCCATGTCAACTTTTAGTCCCTCGTTTACTTTTCGGGATGGAATTTGCTTAAGTTAGTCCCGTGTTTACTTCGATGTATTAACTGAGATGATATAGAATCCAAAGACTAGATTGCCCTTCTCTGAATAAATCGTTTTTTGCCATTTCAAACTCGAATTCATTTTGCCCTATCTCTGCGCGACCGACGAGAAGGCAACCTTCAATCCCGCCGAAGAGCCGCCACTCCGTCAATTCGACCGCCGACGACGTCCCCCCGATAGCTACGACCGTCGACGACAACCTTTAATTCGGCAGTGCAGTGAGAGGTACGCCCATTTTCCGGCAACGAATGACCTAGTCGCGTTCGATAGCTAGTCCTTCAATTCAGGAGTCGCTTTCGATTTTTGCCTACGGTTCGTGAAATTGAAAAATCTTTGTGAAATTGAAAAATCTTTCGATAGCTAGTATCCTTTCACTTTCGATTTTTGCCTTTTTTTGAACCCGAAGCCACCAGTTTCAGAACAATGTCGCGGTCGTTTCTGCAGAAATTAGGGGCAAACGCTCGATTTCAAACATGCCCCAAAAACCTAATCGTCTGATCTGAATAGTTGCCCTAGCCCAAACTTCGCCGCGTGAGAGGAAGAAGCGACGAACATAGCCTTGCCGATAAGCCGCGTGTCATTTTTCCCTAGCCCAAATTTCGCCGCGTAACAAGAAGAAGCGACGACCAACGCCTTGCCGATAAGCCGCGACAACCTGACCCCCACCGTGGACGACGAGCTTCCGAGAAATACTGTTGAAGTGGTACAGACCCGACGGCCTCGCAGGTAACACAAGTCATGGGTAATTTTTTGGTTTCTTTTTCGATGTATCTTGTGTTGTATTACCACACATTCCCGGGCTTTAATTGAAATTGGATTTGTCAATTGAACTGTGTTATGATCTCCATTCGGAACTGTGCCCCTCGTAGATTTTTTTCCATTTGCTGTTGGTAGAAGTTGAAGGAAGCAAACGAAGAATGCAGTCCATTTTTTTACATTACTATACCATTCTGTAATGTTGAAAACTGTTCACATATTTAGAAATATAGCAAGTACTTTGTAGGTTGCTCCACTGAAAACTGTTGAAAGCTGTTGAAAACTGATCACATATTTAGAAACCTGTTCACATATTTAGCAAGTACTTTGAGTTTAATGGGCTTTACTGTAGATTGGTTGTGTTCCTCCACTGAGAGCCAAATACATTGGTTTGTTTCTATAAGGTGATCATATGGGCTGTAATAAAACCATGTAAATTAAGGCGTCGTTTGCTTGGATGGATAGGATAAGAGGCTGTTGAATTGAACAACTTTTAACAACCGAACTTTTTTATTTTAAATCAGGTTGTTGAATTGAAAGCTTGCTATCCTAATACTTTTCAGTTTTCCAAGCAAATAACCATGTCACAGCGTTCAAACGCGAGTTCAAGCAACCGGTATTACAGATCCTCCGACAGTAGGCCGATGGAGGTCAGGTTGTGCCATCATCACGAGGAATGCGTCGTGTTGACATCAAATACGGATGACAACCCGGGTCGAAGGTTCATCAGATGTCCTCGTTGGAAGGTATATTTTTTATAACACGTTGTCGAATGTTAACTACATGATATTGATTTTCGTTGACTATAGTAAATGATATATTTGGTTAGTGAGAATTTCACATTCGGTTTTTGCCTCCGTCTTATGCTCATTTATGACAGACGGATGACCCGCCTTGTAACAAATTTGAATGGCTTGATCCTGAAATGCCGCCGTACGGAAAAAATTGTCTTCAGAGGTTGAAGGCTGAAAAGGGAAGGCTCCACGAGCAATAAAAGTTCAAAAATGAGATGGAGCAACTGCTCTCCGATAGGCTTCAGTTAAAATGTGCAGAGATACGTGCATTGGAAGATGAGAAGAATGTTTTGGTGAAGAAGTTGGAAATTGAAGCAAACAAAATTGTCGAACTGGAGTTGCGACTTGAAGGTGTTCACCGTGAAGCTAGAACTTTGGAGAATAAGTTCACATATATGAAGTCTACATTTTACTTCATTGTTTGCTTTGTTTTCCTGTATTTTATTTTTAAATAAAGATGGATAGATAAACTTTGTTGTGGTGCTCCACTAATGTTTAATACAGTTAACTGAATTATTTTGCCCAAACTACTTTTGTGAAACTACTTTCGAATTGGCAGGATGTTTGTATTTCATTCAATTATGTGGAATCTTGCGTGTAAAGTTATGAAATATGTCTAGTGAATTGAAAGGACATGTGTACAAATGCAGATCAAAGCAGATCTACTTGTAGGTGTCGGCTTTTCTGCAAAGCTGAATGGATATGTCTTTGCAGGCTTTTGACTTGTCAGGACATGTGTGTGTTGAATTCAATTTTGGGGAATCGTAGTTGTAAACATATAAAATGTGTTTTTTTCATGAACAGGACATGTGTACAACGGAAGTGCACATTGATAGGATAAGGCTAGGTTTGCATTTTTTCTGCAATGCTAATCTGATAGGTCTTTGGCGTGGTATGCAGCTTTTCTGCAAAGGTACATTTATAGGTAAATAGCAGCATATGTAATTTAAATTAATGTAAAAATGCATTATTGCTCGTTTTTGCATGCGCAAAACAAAGAATGTGACCACTCGAGTCATGTTTTCGGTCAACAATGTCATAATCGAGGGGACATGCAATGACCACTCACTACACACGTCTACATGTAGGTTTCAGCTACTTATGCAAGGCTGCATTGAATAGACAAGACGAACATGGAGACCATACCCCTTTGTTCAACCAGTTACTACATGATTGATTTGCATCATCAAATTTTGCTATATAATCACCATAACGCATACTAAGTAGTCCACAACCATTGAAGGAAGCGGTCAAGTATTACCTAAGTTAAAAAAAACAAGCAAAATTTCTAGGTCATAAAATTGTAATGGCTCCAAATTTGGGTTTAGTGCAAGCAGACTATCTGTACGACCTAAATTGGACGCCAAAGTTTGATGACTTTCTTATCGACTACTTACTTGAAGATAAGCTATGTGGTATCTTTGTTCCTAATGCAGACAATACTGAGTCCATACTTGGTGGTACGCGAGCATTCAATGCGTGGTTTGGCAAGAGTTTCACGGTGGAGTACATCGGAATACGAGTGGGAGTTTTGGAGAAACGACATGAAGTTTTTACGGCTCTGAAACAGAAGACTGGTGTTGAATACGACGTCGGCCAGAACAAGTACCATGCTTCGGGCAGCACGTGGGATGAAATGCTAAGGGTGAGATTTATCGAAAATATATGCGTTTACATTTTTTCTAACCCAATGTTACCGGTATTAGTCTAATTTTTTTTTTTTTCACCCGGTAGTGGGATGACTTTTCCCTGGCGTACATGATGGATGGTGATCCACATCATAACAAACTTGTTGAGTTGTTTTACGAGGAGCCACCGTACGTAAATCCTTTGCAGTGGTGTATCATTCCTGACAGCGACGACGAAGGCAAGAAGGAGGGCAACAAGGACCGTCGCAAAAGTGTAGAAGTTATCGATGTGGAGGATTACCCTCCAAACCGTTTGCCACCTAGGTTAATTCCCTACCCCGTTCGCAGTATTGTCCCTCCGAGAGCTAAGAAACAACCACCGCGTCCGGCCTTTTATATGGGTAGCAGCTCAAAGGGCCCAAAAAAGAAGCAATCCATACACAGTCAAACCGGTTCAACTGATGGATCTGTGAACCAGCCCAACAACGACATCTCCTCTCATGTTGCGCATGAAACAGACGAAAATTCTATATCTACTGCCTGTTCTGCCACTCCTATGGACTGTGCTTTTGATTGGCCGTGGAATTAACTAAGTCACTATATATTTCCCTTCTATGTTTGTTCTTGTTTCGGTGGTGTATCAGTATGTTAGTTGTCGTTGTTGGTTTGTGTAATGGTGCTTTAATATGTTTCTGCTTTGTTTCCGTCATGTTCCTGATTGTCCTAAGATGTAGTCGTCCCGTCGACAATATGTACCCGTGCTTTGTTTCATTGAGAAAATGTATGTTTCTAATATTTGGTATGTTTGGTGGTTTGTTCCATTGTTACGGTGTTGTACCCTTTAAAATTGTCCGCCTTACAGTATGATATAAACCTTATAAATTGTCCCAATAAACCTACGAAACTATTAATACACAAATCATACATGATATTAATTTTTCAATCACAGCATAAAAGAAAGCATGAAAATGGTCTTCATAAACACAAAAAACGTTTAACACAAAATGTCCAAAATAGTTTGCCTTAAAATACCAACAAGCATCTGAAATAAGTGTTTCTTAATTCGTTGTTCAGTACATTCTACACACAAATTTCGACCACTTTAAACCGGGGATACCGGTA